AGAAAGAAAGAAAGAAAGAAAGAAAGAAAGAAAGAAAGAAAGAAAGAAAGAAAGAAAGAAAGAAAGAGAGAGAGATGAATGAGTTACAAACTAGGACTGCCGCCACCATCACCAGTGTCCTTCACTGACTATCCATTTAACGCCTTAGCTTTCTTTACAGTATTTCTCACTCCCCTTTAAAGCATTATTTGCATATTCCCCTCTCCTTTCTGTAGAATTTCTCCCTCCTCTAAGGGTGAGAATTGGTTTTCTCTGTTGTATCCCCAGCTACTAGAATGATGTTTGTTACTGTCAAGGTTCTCAAAAGTTTTTGTTTGATGAATGAAAAATGAACATCTGGTAGACGAATAGGTAAATTTGTTTGTAGGGTTTGTTACTACACATAAAATTCATGTCCATTTAATCTGATACTGTAAATCATAGACGGTAATTTGAAGAATGTATGAAAAATTCAATGGGAACAGTACCACCTTTAAGTAAAAGTAAAGTGTATGTTTTAAGTGTGGTAGATCTTTATTATAAAATGTGTTCAGGTAGTCATGATGAATGACTTGACATATTTTCAAAACATCTCCAAGTGTTGTGACAGCCTGTCAGATATAGCACCATCCTGGGTGAAGATGGTGCTAGCGGACTGACAGAAATGTCACAGGTATGTAAGTAGGGTACCATGTTTAACTTCACCGGCTTCTCTATGATCTGCTCTGGAAATCAGGCAGCCCGTTATCTTTCAAAGTAGTTTGGGTCGAAGCATTCATTATTCACTGGCAATGGAAACAATAACCTTCCTACTGCATGTCTGGAGGACGACTGACTCGCTGATGTTTCTTGGAATTGTTCTCTCCCTTTGGCAATTCTTGTGCTGGAGATTTGTGTATGAACACTTCCATGCTGTATTATGCATTGTTTCATAGTCGTTTTTTGACACAAAGACAGAATTCCATTCTGTGTAAGGCAGTGTTTCCCGACTAATTATTTTGAACAATTGATTTGTTTGCCTCCATAAACATGGATCACAGAGGTTTTGCGCAGTTCTTTTTGTGACACATGGGTGTAGTGTGTCAGCAGTGTGCTCACAAGTAAAATGAAAAATTGCTGGTCCTCTCTGTTTTCTGTTCTGTCCTCCCCTCTCCTCTTCGCACTCTCTACTCCCTCCTTCCCTCCCCTCCCATCCACTCTTCCTCCTCCTCTACTTGTTCTTGTTCTTCTTGTTTTTAATGCTTGTTCTTGTTCTTGTTGTTGTCATTGTTGTTCTTCTTCCTCTTCCTCTTCTTCCTCTCTCTCTCTCTCTCTCTCTCTCTCTCTCTCTCTGTCTGCCTGTTTCTGTGTCTCTCTCCATCTCTGTCTCTATCTCTCTCTGTCTGTCTGTCTGTCTCTGTCTGTCTGTCCATCTCTGTCTCTCTCTGTATCTGTTTCTCTCTCTTCTCTCTCTTTCACTGTCTGTCTCTCTCTAACTCTTTCTGTCTTTCTCTCTCTCTGTCTCTGTCTGTCTTTCTCTGTCTCTCTCTCTGTCTGTCTCTGTCTCTTTGTCTCTCTCCCTGTCTCTCTCTCTCTCTGTCTTTCTCTCTGTGTCTCTCTCCCTGTCTCTCTCTCTGTCTTTCTCTCTCTCTCCTTGTCTCTCTCTCCTTGTCTCTCTGTCTCTCTCTCTTGCTGTCTCTCTGTCTCTCTCCCTGTCTCTCTCCCTGTCTCTGTCTCTCCCTGTCTCTCTCTCGCTGTCTCTCTGTCTCTCTCTCCCTGCCTCTGTCTCTCTCCCTGTCTCTCTGTCTCTGTCTCTCTGTCTCTCTCTCCCCCGTCTCTCTCTCCCTGTCTGTCTCTCTCTCTGTCTTTCTCTCTCCCTGTCTCTGTCTCTCTCTCTCCCTGTCTCTCTGTCTCTCTCTCTCACTGCCCGCTCTCTGTCACATTCCAGGAAAGGCAGCAATACACTAAATCATCCTCTTACAGTGCATCAAGCAAGTGGAGCGTCCTAACTTCTGACTACTGCACGCATCTCAGTGCATTAGCAACCACACTCAGAACACACAGCAATAGCACCGTCAAGTCTCTAAGAAGCAAAGATGAGGAGTGTAATATGCTCATCAAATCATATGATAAATTGATTACTAGTTATTAATGTAAGCAGCATTATATATATATATATATATATATATATTTATGTGTGTGTGTGTGTGTGTGTATGTGTGTGTGAGATGACAAAAATAGTGCTAATTTTGTACTAGAGGAAATGCTTTATGTATAGAAGTGAATTGTTCTACAAACTATTTTAACAAGTCATAGTAGATTAATTTACAGGTTATTCAGTGATAAATCTGTTGTTGATTATCTTGAAACTCAAACTTTCTACCATCAAACAGTAAAGTTTAAAAAAATCTGCTTTTTTCATAATTTTGCTTAATAGTCAAGCCAACAACCTAATTTGAAAAATGCCTAAGCTGGCTAAGAGTGAGTCGCGCTGTCGCGTCTTACCACAGTCACGCGGACCGAAGCTTCCCTGTGCGCGCTGCTCCCGCCCGGGCAACATAGAGTGCCTGCCTGTGTTACTGTGGAAACAATTACTGCTGTGCCTTTTTGTACTTTATTTGCATAAGAGATCATAACAATGTCTTTAAAAAAGGTTAAAACTACATCAATCGAAACTAAGAAGAAAATAAGGTAAGAGTCAAAGAAAAATCCTTGGGCTGGAGAGATGGCTCAGTGGTCTAAAGCACCTACTTGGAACAAGCTTGGCAAAGCACAGGGACCGCGGTTCAATCCTCCAGCACCACATGCCAGCCAGCCGCGCCCCCTGGTGGGCTGAGCTGGCCACACACACACACACACACCACACACACACACACACACATACAATAAATGTTAAAATAAAAAAAAAAAAAAAAAGAAAGAAAAATCCTTGTGAGTGAGGCATGGTGGTGCACTCCTGTAATCCCAGTATTGAGGAGGCTGAGGCAGGAGGACCGAAGGACGGAAGAGTGGAAAGCTGGCCTGGCCTACACAGTGAGTTTAAGGGCAGCCAGAACTGCATAGTGAGACCTTGTCTTAAAACACCAAGAAAGAAAAGAGAGAAAAAAAGAAAAAGAAAATTTAAGAAATATGTAAGATATTTACATGTAATGACAGAAATTTTTTGTAGTAAAGAAAATGCAGAGATCCTTGTGAAATTTGCTAAAGTCCTAGAAAAATGAATATTTATGTGAATTTTGGGTCCTATAACCAATTATTTGTTTTTTTATTATGTCTTATGAGAAAAATATTTCCAGTTCCGAAACATTTTGGTGTACCAACATGAATTTGGAAGAAGCTGAATTAGGCAAGTAAGAAATCAAGGAAATGAAAAACAATTTAGTTACATTGCACCAATAGTTTAAATATCTATCTATCTGTCTGTCTATCTATCTATCCATCCATCCATCCATCCATCCATCTATCTATCTATCTATCTATCTATCTATCTATCTATCTACTTCATTGTAAAAATAATTAAGCTGTCAGTTATGAGAATTTTTGCTGAACTTAGACATTTCAGTAGAACAGCAATAATTCTTGTTATAACATTTAT